ATATATATATATATATATATATATCCATATATATATATATATATAATATATATATAGATATATATTATATATATATAAAAGATTTGTTTTTTGCTATAAGCAGAGGACAAGGGTTTCTCTGGATACTCTGAATGTTTGTTTTTCCATGAACTATTTTCCCAAATTAAAAATCAGACAAAAGTTGTTAGCAAGTTGCCAATTCATGGTAACATACATACTTTAGGGTTCTAGACCAGACAGAATGCAAAAGGAAGGGGGAATTTAAAACATGAACATCCACTGTAGGTGCCATAAATTTCCCAGATAGCTGGGGGTTGATTTTATTTTGAGAGATCTCCAATTTTTCCTGAAGGCAAAGACTACTTTTGTGTCCTTTACATGTTTTGTGGGATAGTAGATCAATCCTGGATTTTCCATATATAGCAGTTAACTGTAATGATCACTGTACCATGTGTGACTGTCTTCTTCTCTGTCAACACTAAAGTTGGAGCCTCTGTTTTATTCCTCTAGGAAAAGGGTTTATTGTTTCCCCTATAGCATACTGCTATACAGTGTATCAATTCTATTGATCCCTCAATTCAGTTCTATCCATTCTCTGTCTAATAGATACCCTTCAAATTTTCTGGTATACTCATGGTCTCTTTCCCAATTTCAATGTCATTATAGGCTTATTCCCTTTCTCCCATTTTTCTGACATGTTAGAAATATTTTGAGAGGGAGAGAAGATGAGTGCATGTGTTCAATTTATTTTTCCTGAACACAGAGTTGCCCTTCCTTCTCAAACATTTCTGTTTCACTCTTCCTATTATCTTCTTTTACTCCCATCATAATGACTCATTATTTTAGTTATTGCTTTCAATACTATAATCTAATGATCCATGCACCATTGAATTTACTTTGCATTATCTGTCTTATTTTCTTCCTTTTAAATATTTTTGTGATGAGTTTACTACTAATAATGATTAATATAGATTAGGCAAGGAATCATTATATATGTTTTATGGGTATTAAATTTATTCTTTTTTTAAAATTTGTTCTTTTTAGTTATACATTACAGTAGAGTATATTTTGACATACCATATATAAATGGAGTATAACTTCCCATTTTTGTGGTTGTACATGATGTGAAGTTACACTGGTTGTGTATTCATATATGAGCACTGGAAACTTACGTCTAATGCATTCTACTATTTTTTTTTCCCATTTCCCCTTCCCGCAATTATACTCTTTCCAATCTGGTGAGCCTCTCCTTCGCTCACCCCCCCACCCCCAGCCTATTGTGAGTCAGCATCCACATATCGGAGAGAACATTCAGTTTTTGGTTATTTGGGATTGGCTTGTTTCACTTAGCATAATAGTCTCTAGTTCCATCCATTTACTGGCAAATGCCCTAATTTCATTCTTTATAGCCAAATAATATTCCATTGTGTATATGTACCACATTTTCTTTAGCCATTCAACTGTTGAAGGGCACCTAGGTTGGTTCCATAGTTTATCTATTGTGAATTGATATATACATTGAAGTGGCTGTGTCATTATAGTATACTGATTTTAAGTCCTTTGGATATATACCAAGGAGTGTGATAACTATGTCAAATAATGGTTCCATTCCAAGTTTTCTGATGAATATCTACTGCTTTCCAGAGTGTCTGCACCAATTTGCAGTCCCAGCAGCAATGTATAAGTGTACCTTTCTCC